ATTTTATTTATTTATTTTGAAAGATCAGTTTTTTGATAAAAATTAAGTATTTATACAAAAAAACATTAAGTGGTTTAATTTTAAAAATGTCCACTTTAATCTTTACATTTTATCCTTTTGAAAATTTTTTTTTTATTATTACAATTGATCATTTGGCTTACAGTTATAGTAGCAGTGGTAATTCCCAAAATTGTTCCCGCCAATACATCACTCCAATGGTGTTTATAATCGCTGACTCGTGATAATGCACAAAACGCTGCCATTAAAACAACCACAAATTGAGCTAAACTTCTTGCCATTCCATATTTAGATGTCTTAACTCGGGCTTGTAAATATAGCTAGTATCATACATATAAAACAATTATTAAATAATTGAAACATAATATTATAAAAAGAGAAATCCATACTTACAGCTAAGTAAACCATACAATAAAATGATAATGAAGAATGGCCAGAAGGAAATGATAGTCTACTATCGGTAAATTTGCTGGGCCTTTCTCCGCCGCATATAAAATCTTCGTTATATTTTGTTTTATTCATATCATTATTACAGTCCACGTTGGGTTTACAGATGTCTAAAAAATGTGGTCTCAATCTTCCTATCGTATATTTACCGATATCTGTAGTTAGTTGTGAACAAGCTGCTCCAAATAAAAACCATAGTATATTGTTGTACACGGAATACAGCCAATTAGGAATAGGTGTCCCCAAAAACGAATAACGCGATTGTTCATTGTTTCGCATTGAATATTCAATAAATAAGATCTATGAATATTTTTAAAGTAATAATTACGGTTATTACTTAATAATATATATATAGACAAAATATGTTTATGTGGTTTCAATATGTTTGGTCCATTTTTTTACATAGCAATGTCCATAAGTTTATAAATAACGTTGACAAATTATAAGACCATATTATTTAACTTATAATATAGATTTAACTACTCTTAAATAAAAAAAAAACACATTAAATGCTTACTTCAAAAATATGATAATAATATAGTTTAAAATAATAAGCAATAAGCTAACAATTATCTTGATTGTAGTGCAACACTAATACCTAATATTTTAGGTAACTAATAAATAATAAATAATAAACGTACAAATTAAGTCCATATAATTGTAGCCTAATTGCTTGAAGTAAGGTAGTTAATAATTTGATCTGATTTTTATAAAATACTATATTATAAAATTTTATAAAATAATTGAAACTAATTTAATTAGTTTTATTCCAGTCAAAAAAATTATGAAAAAATTGCTTGAAAAGTTAAAACAATAACATTGGAATTTTGAATCATTTTATTTTGAATTGTATACCTACTAAAACAATATATTATGAGATGACTGCAATATATATATATATAAACATCGACAATTTAAATCATTCAGTGYCATATGTTAGAAGATTTGGTGCTGTGAAATACATGATAAGTATAACAAAAACACATTAAACAAATAATTATGGTCAGTATTTCTATATATATATACAACAGAGTGGTTCACCAAACACGCTCATAATAGGTACTACTTTTTCCTGTATACATATTTTATTTAAATTTATCGATTAATTCAAATTATGATTATATTTATAATGTATACTATACTGTCAAAGTGTCAAGTACTTATTTAATTAATCATTTAAACCTTAAGGTATCCAGTGTCGATACAAAATTAATTTTTTATAATGAGAACCATCATCCGTCATTTTTTATTGTAAATTATTATATTTGAATGAATTTTTTGAAAATGAATGTTGACGCATTTGAAATTTAAATAACTAGTTTCCTAGTAGTTAAACTTTATATACTATAAGGATAATAATGCTCAATAGTGATATTATTATGTAAACTATAAAATATATGTAATATTTAGTCTACCTAGTTATTATTATTCTTTGTCAATTTTTAATAATTATAAAATTTTATAAAATTATTATATTAATTACTATATTTTTTAATCACCGCTATTATGATAGCTAACAATTTAAACTTGTTAATGCTGTTATCACGGAGAACTATTATCCTATTACTTATTAGTATTATTCAGAGGACATGATACCCGCATGTGTTGTCTCCGTTTAACAAGTGCGTAACATAGCATATTTTACACTCAGAAGAAAACGTTTAGTTATGCTAGTTATCTACCTAGTACCTACTAACATTTAGAGCGAGTTGACTCTTATAGTGTTATAAAAATTAAAGGTAACATTATTATCGTGGGCTTCACATAGGCTTTTTATTAAATTTTAATTTTAAAGTGAGTTATGAGTAATATGAAAATATAATAAAAAGCCTATATATATATATATATATAGGCTTTTATATTATATATATATATATATAATGAGAAGCCCTCGATAATAATGTTATCTTTAATTTTTAAAACAGGTAAATTCACTCTAAATTTTAAGTAACAGAGCTACACACGTGTTCTGCTAAGCGTAAAAATTGCTATGTTACGCACTTGTAAGACGGAGAAAACACATACGCGGGTATCACGTCTTCTTAAGTAAAAAACTGTGCTCATTTAAATTTCGATTATATATACGATTTTCCAAAAAAAAAACATTTTCTTATCAATTTACAATACTAAATAAGGGTTATTATTTGAAAAAATGATTGTTTCATAATAACAATTTTCTTAAAACAATTTAAGTGTTGAATGTTTTGTATGTAAGTAGATTGTAGGTATACTACAATTTAAACTATTAAATTCATTATTAAGAGAAACAATAGGCGATTGCGTGATTGGTGAACTATTCTGTATATATAAAGTCAAAATAAATAAACATGGACATGAACCAAATTCTGTAKAAAAATAAAAATATGATATGCACACAAGATATAACACCTTAAAGATTATTGGTGTTACAGAATGGGTGTAATATTAGTATCAGCTTATATGAATATAGTAACTATAGCTATTATAACTATAACTATAGCCGTTGAAAAATATCAGTTTCGCATAGGTATCAATAATTAACTATAAACTTCATTTAAATATGAATTGTTTTTAAATAAACTATATTTATTAAGTATATGACAAATTATTTTTTCATTTTAAATTTATTTAATCATCTATTTTGACAGAAAAAAAGAAAATGTACTTGTTAAAAATAAATCGTACTTTAATCAACATATAATAGTCTAAATAACTAAATATATGAATAAAAAATTAAAAGTTTTCTACTACCTAAACTTCTACGCATTTACGCATAGGTAATCTAGTAACATCGCAATATTTTTTAGCTCAATAGTATATATATATATATATACATAGAAACGTGGGACAGATCCCAGATGAGGTCCCCAATATGGGAACTCAGAATAATAGAAATGATGAGCAACTTTAAATTGTAAGCTATGGTGGATCAATACGATTCTCTAACTAATAAAGTAATCATACAAGAAACAAGATACACTTTTGATGTTTTTATCAACTTTTTTTTGGCTTACTAAAAGGGGTCCTAAGTTCCGGGTGCTCATAGGCCTAAATGGCCCTGGCGCAATTGTATTATTATCAAATTAAACAACTATACAGTATACATGTACTGCGAATAATCTTTTATAATCAACTCTCCCTGCTCCTTAATAGGTATACATCGCGGACCTTCCCACTACATCTAACATAGAAGTCTTTCTTTATGTTGATTACAGTGTTGTCTATAATTCAAGCTCTATAATGACGCCCACATTATCACTGAAAATATACAGAGCCAACTAAACAAAATAAAGTGCTGGACGAAAAAAATTAAAATTATCCTAAACTTCTCAAAAAGGACAGCAGTATTATTCACACTTCGTCGTCTAAAAATCCCACCCACTCTAATAAGTAATTATGATAATATATCCGGGTCTCCAACCATAAAATATCTATATAAAGGAGTCATCTTAGATAAAAAATTAAGTTGGAACCCGCACATTTCTTCGATACTAGAACAAAGTTACCATCGACTTAGTTATTTACCCCTTAATCAACCGTCAAATCACCCTTAGTTGGAAATGCTTCTTAGTTCTCTATAAGCTAATTCTTCGACCATTAGTATACTCTATACTGCTCCTATCAGGGCCATGGGGAAATTTTTCCCAAAATCCACATTAATAAAATTCCAGTTTCCCAACTCATGTTACTACGTATAATATCTAACACGCCTTGGTTCATCAGAAACGATGCACTTTACACYGACTTCAAACTCTCATCAATTAAAGCCTACATATAAAATCTCACGATCATTTTCTTTTCTCAATTAAAAGATGCAAAGTACTTTAACTCAGCGATAGACTTACCCTTAAGCGTGGTCGTCATTACAATGTTACATCTCACCA